GACAATGGTTAACAATCTCACAACACATCAACAATATCCTTACTCTATTTTGTGTTCCCTATCATCAGCTTCCTACTCCCCTTCTGCCTTCTGGGCCTTATCACTGGACTCCTGTACCTCTTTACTCTCATGGTTTTACTGGGCTAAGACAGCCAGACTTTTTATGTGCCTCCTGATGGAAGAGTACATTACCACCTATGAAGAAGTCTTGCAAAAAGAAAACAGAACCTGATCAAACCTTTAGATCCAGTTACCAATTTGCAGTAAATACAGAGAACAGAAGAATGTGTAAGAGAACATGCTAAGCGACACCACGTGGATTCAATCAGCAAAATCCAAACTATGAGGAAGCTATGTAAGACTTGATTTCTTCAACAAATGAATTGCAAGGAAAAAATAGAACTGAAAGAAAAACCTAGAGATTAAAAGAGGCATAAGATACATATGAACCAATTGCAATGTGTGGACCTTATTTGGATCCTGATTCAAACAAGCAGTCTGAAAAACAACAATAAATGTTTATGTCATTTATGATACAACTGGAAATTTGAACACTGATTGGATATTTGATAACATTAAGGATTTATTGTTAACTGTGGTAATGATGTGGTTGTGTTTTTTTCTTAAAAGATCCTTTATCTTTTAGAAATACGTACTGAAATGATTTAAAGATGAAATAATTATGTCAGATTTGCTTTAAAATAACATGGGAGAGGGAAATGGGCAGAAGGGTAGATGAAACAAGATTGGCCATGAGTAGTTAACTGTTGAAGCCAGCTGATGAGTACACGGGTAGGGAGGCAGTCACAGTACTGTACTGTCTACTTTTGTTTAGTTTTTAAATCTTCCATGATAAAAAGACAAACAAACAAAAATGGATCTCCTTTTGAAAAGACCTAGAAAAAGTGCTAAAATTGATGGGGCTTTAAGAAGAGCTGATATGGAAGATGATGTTTTGGACTAGAGGGTTCTTTCCTTGCCCTCACATTAGGGAGCTTATTTTGTTGTTGTTGTAAAGATAACATAGCATTTGCCAATTCAAGATTTTTCATGTGTACAATCTAGTGACAATAATTACATTAATCATCTTGTGCAACCCTCACCAATATCTGTTTAGACAGCTTTTTCTGCCTATATAGAAGGATATTCTTTTACCTATACAACTAAAAGCACATGCTATCAATGCTGGAGCAAAGAAATGCTGAGTTCAAACCCTGTGACTTAATCTGGACATTAGTATTTCTGGAGCAGCTGTTCTCTTCTGATTGAATAATGTTATCTGACTCTGGAAGAATAGATTCCTGAACAACAAATACGAGAAAAGCTATACCTGGGCAATAAATCCTTAGTAACCTGTTGAAATGCATTTTGTTGTGTAGGGTGTTTTGATTGCATAATATTTAAATTGTGTGCTAGTTATTTCCTCTAATTGGTTCAGTTATGTAAGATTGTTGTTATAGCTACCATTTATAGAATATTTCTGATGGGATAGTCACTGTGCTAAACTTTTCATATATTTCATGTTTATTTCATTTTCTCTTTACACTGCCCCATGAGGTTGATATTAGGTATTACAGTAAGTCCCTGGGTTACAAACGTCCAATTTAAGGACAACTCGTACTTACCCTTTAATATTACCTAAATTTGTCCTTACTTTGAAACGATTGAACCAACCCCTACTCAAAACAAATTCTTCATCTCAATCATCTTCGCTTGCTGCACGTGCAGCTTTTAAATCATTGAAAAGGCTTCGAGCCTTTCTTACACTAAAACCAAAAAACCAAACCCATTGCCTTTGAGTCGATTCCCACTTCTTGAACTAAAGTAAGGCTAAATAAGAACTGTATGCACCTGTTCTGACTTACCCACAAATTCTTAAAGACA